ATTACTCGCTGGGGCACTCTGTGCCCCAGACGAGTATAGGTTTCGGCTTGCATTTTTCTTGGATCGTCGATAGCCACAAAATAGAATATTAATGAGCTGCTTGATCCTTTTCAAAATGGCGGGGCCTTTCGTGGAGTGGGCAAAATGTTTCAAACAATTCCGGGCCCCATTTCGTGAAAATTTTGGCCGAATTGTACCTGTTTTCTATGGATTTTGCATTGTGTCTAACTCTGGACATTCATGCTAGTTTATTTAATGCGTTTTCCTTGGTGCACGACTCTGAAAATCCGAAATTTGGATCGTTGAATTCCCGTGCACGATCATAATATACTGAATCTGAATATAAACGAGCCAAAGACAATTTTTAGGTAAATGGTTATAACTTAAACTGCACAACGTAGTTTTAATAAATAACTACTTTATGAGAAGCATATTGGTGTCATATCAATATAAAAATTATCGAACAACAGTCCGTGAAAACTGTAGTGTTCAAGTGTACTCAGTGTGAAATATGATATTGTATTTGTAATGCCTATTAATGGCGCAATAAGGATAAAAATACCACCGTTCGATTCAGCGTAAGAAATTGTACTTACGGATGTCAAATGTATTACTAAATACCAGTATTCTAGCGATTTATGGCCTTTGAAAATCAAGCGAAATTGTATTGTTAGATATTCAGACAGTACATCATATTTTAAAAAATACAGCAGTTCAAAATGTAAACAAACCGTTTGTTTACATTACGGCCACGGTCTTGACTTCCACATTAATATACGCACGTATAACTTTAAATCTGTTTAAATGTTACTTATAAAATAACCAAATAAATAAAGCAACAGAATTTACTGATCCGCAAGTTTTAGTATGCATTTGTTAACTTATTTGAAATATTTAAAAATAGAAGGATTCAAAGTTTTACGTGCGTGTACGTGCGTACGAAAAACGCAACAGTGGAAATCAGTCTTTAAATCTTGACAGTAATGTGCGTCAGTTGTATAGCCCCAGAGAGTTAACGCTCCATAGAGCGTCTTGTTATTAATAGATTTCGAGTTCTTTTAATTGCATAATTAATTTTCATGATTAATCTGTAGCTACAAGCTCCTTCATTCACGGATATGATTTTTTTAAACCGTTTCATTTGTTTCTCAATTTCAGTATATTTTTAATTGTATTAACAATACATGAGAAAATCAGAAAGAAAATCATATCCGAAAATCAAGGAGCTTGTAGCAACATCTAATGCTACCCTGCTCAGTTCCAAAAAACTCACAACTCACAAAATATTAGCCAGCAATATGGAACCTCATAGACATAGCCAACGCCTTGTCCCTATGAATCTCAGCTGACAAATCACATTATGAATTTCAGAGACAGGAATATTAAATATTTAAAATATTCGTCTTCCACCCCCGAGTATGTATATGTGTAAAATTACTTGCAAAACTATATTAAAATCAATAGCTTTTCTTCAAGAAATGTATGTAGGAAGTCGGACGTCAGTTGATCTTATCCTCAATTAATATCTACACTGTTTCGTCTTTAAAAATAACCTTTAAACTTTTGTGAAATCCGAAACGTGTATTTTTAAGTCTGCGAATATAGCTACATACATTTAAAAATACAAATTTATTTATGCACGTTAGCCCAAAAAACAAGTTATTGATTTCCATGTGGTACGTGCAGACATACAGACTAAAAATACGTACAAATAGCACATACAAGCAGATATAATAAGATGGAGAAACTGTTTACCAATTATAACGTTCTTTCATCAGTTTTTTAAAAATAATTTAAAGTAAACCAGAGACATGCACGTTGTAGCCAAAACATGTCTTGTTTCTCGATGTATTTGAATGTATTATTGTCTGTTTTACTTTTGAATTTTCCATTGGCGGCAGGAATTTCAGATGTTTGCAGCTTAAATCTGAAAAATTTATGATTTGGATCAAAATGTTTTCAGGATTGTTGCTTGTTACAAAACAGGAATTGTGTGACTTATATAAAACAATATTTTTAGAGTTGGAAATGATTAATAAAAATGACGTCATTGTCGTTGCTATGGGAACAATGACGTTTCAATATGTCCAAAATGTTGGCTTTAAACGTATTTTACTCGAAAAAACGTCCGGTTACCCTTATTTTTTATTTCATGAAAATCTTTTTTTCTACGAGTATTATGGAATATTTAAACGAGTTTAAAAAAATTCTGTAGAGTCATTTTTTAGTATTATTTAGTTTTTTAATAATCATGTTGATTAAGTATTTTTTAAAATGGCTCTACATAATTTTTTAAACTCGTTTAATTAAATATTCCGTAATTCTTGTAGAAAACTTTTCATGAAATAAAAAATGGGTGTACCAGATATTTTTTCGAGTAAAATATGTTTAAAGCCAAAATGTCGGCTATATTGAAACGTCATTGTTGCCATAGCAACGATAATGACGTCATTTTTATTAATAATTTCCAACTCTAAAAATATTGTTTTATATAAGTCACACAATTCCTGTTTCGTAACAAACAACAATCCTGAAAACATTTTGATCCAAATCATAATTTTCCAGATTTCAAGAAACTATAGGGGGCCACCTTAAGCTGAACAGGAAACTAGTTGCTGTTACTCGAAATGTAAAGTTTTGAAAAATGTGGCATCACTCCTCCTCGGAATTTTTCAACACCTTAATATCAAACCGGAACAATCCTAATCATGTTACAGTTCGTCGTTCCTACATCATCACGATAGGCGAAGATCCTGAGCTTGGCCATTTGTCTCTTAGTATACCCGGATTTCGATTCCCAACTCCAAGGTCTTCGATTCCTTTAATCCTTTCGCTGATTCCTTGTTTTAGAAATTCATTTGTTCAAATTTTTTGA